ACCGGGCGGTCTTCACTTGTGTTTGTGCACGTGTATGTGTGTGTGTGTGTGTGTGTATGTGTATATGTGTGTGTGTGTGTGTGTGTGTGTGTGTGTGTGTGTGTGTGTGTGTGTGTGTGTGTGTGTGTGTGTGTGTGTGCACGTGAATGCTTGCACTGTACTGACATTGCACAGGGGAGGACGGTTCACGGAGGAAGCCTATCGTTGCTCCCGTTCCTGAACCCGTCTGCTGGAGGGTGACCGCTCCCGTGCGCAACACCCGCAATCTTCTTATCCGCCTGGCAAAGGATGGTGAGTGACCTCGACGCATAGCACACCTTGTGCCAACCTTTTTGCAAATCTGAGATCGGGACGATGACGCACCTAGGTATGAAGACGTATGCGAATGCAGTTGTGAGGCATGCGGCAAATGCACTCTTGGGTGCTTATTACCACCCTCGATATCGTCCCGGCCAAATCGGGATGGGTGGCAGGTACGGGGGGGGGGGGGGGGGGTCATCAGCCCTATCAGTCTTGCATTTTAAAATTGCACATGTACTTTTGCAAGCCATTAATGGTGTTGCCGCTGACACTTCTGCTACTGCCCGCCCCGCCATCATCGTCATCGCCATAGCGACTGCTGGCATTTGATAGCCCTGTACGGTGAATAGACTTTGTGTTCCAATCACCTCTGCGTTCCTCAGAGGCCGATCGCCTCCCATGAGTCAGTACTATTGTTGGAGGTGTGTGTTGGGGGAGGGGGGAGTTGGGTGGAGCACATACGTGTTAGATGGCTTATGGGGATACCATGCGCTTGCTGTGACTAACGTTATGTCCTAGTTGATGCAGCCACTTCGAGGCAGGCTCAAGTGAGATCGTTTCAGGAAAGTTGCAAGCGTCTGAGAATTGAATCTGTGACCTAGGGTACAATGCCTTTCGCCGTTCAGTCATTGTCTTTGTTCCACACATTCTGAACCTGTGTGTTGCCTGGCCTTCTGTGTGTGTGTGTGTGTGTGTGTGTGTGTGTGTGTGTGTGTGTGCGTGCGTGTGTGCATGTGTGTGTGTGTGCATGTGTGCATATGTGTGTGCATGTGTGTCTCTGTCTCTCTCTTTCTCTGTCTCTCTCTCTCTCTCTCTCTCTCTCTCTCTCTCTCTCTCTCTCTCTCTCTCTCTCTCTCTCTCTCTCTTTAGGTGACCGCAAGAGAAAGGGTGCTGCGAAGCAGAGCGATTACTATCGACGACACGGGAACCCGCACACGGGTCAGGCTGGTGCAGTCAACTTGTCGGAGTTGAGGTGCGTTGGCGTCCAGTCGCATGCCTGTGTGTGGGGCGTGTTGGGGGTGGGACTGCAGTGTGTGTGTGTGTGGGGGGGGGGGGGGGTATGGAAGGTTGGGACTACAGTGTGTGTGTGTGGGGGGGGGGGGGGGGGGGGGGTATGGATGGTTGCGACTACAGGGGCGTCGGAAGGTATTTTAGGGTGATGCGGTCAGCCACCTGAACATTCGCTTGTGGGGTTGGGGTGACTCCTCTTAAAATTTTCGAAATCTGGTGCCCAAATTAGTGCCTTTTACTGATCAACGGGGTAGCTGGGGCAAAGAGTGGTACGTACGGTCAATACCGTGGTGACCGTAGCGTGTCCAACACCCCTGCATGTCTACAGTGTGCTGCACGCCCTGCTTGCATTGGACAGTGGTTCCACTAGTGTTTGGCTACTAATATCGAGCGGAAGGAAGTTCATGCATGTGCACACACGTGCACTGCTTGCATTACATTCCTCCCACCATGTGCAGTCTACAAAACTCGCGATATGCTTCGCACTTTCGAATCATGCACTTGTGATAAGTTGAGCACCATTACAAACGAGACTGGACACCCTGTGGGGTTTACTTTACATTGGACTTCCTGGTGATGTGTGCTTGGTGATGACGGCACATCTCATCTTATTCATAGCCTTGATGGCGGGCATTGCGCGATGCAGCAGCACTGGAACAGCCCACTGAGAGTGCTCAACAAGGCGAAAGCCGAGGAGCGTAAATATCTGTCTACGCAAGAATCACCACTCCTAATTGGCTGGCGGTGATTCTTGCGTAGATGCATGCGTACTTGCGTAGACAATACATTTTTTGTAATATTTTCTGCCGCCGTCCTTGTTTCAAATATTTTGAATAATTATATATGTTGCCTCACCAAAAATTCCCCAAGTGGTAGGTGGGATAATTCTATTTCTATGACGAAAAAAATTGATATTTAATATGAAAGAATATTGAAGCAATCGAAAATACTACTTAGGTATTGGCATGGGGATAAATGATGGATGAATATTTAAAAGAGCTAAGGTCCACCGGTTTCTTGTAACTTTCTCTTCGAGAGAACAAGCGAGAATAAAAGGACGGATCTGGAAGCTTTTGCCAGCGAGAAGCAGCAAGCGGGTCATAGCCCTGAGAGACACATGCATTGATATGTTGGTATTGCTCACGAGCACACATCCGACGGTACACGTGTACTTTGTGCCCACCCATTGGTGCGGGCATTGCCACGTTCCTGCCACCTATGAAGTGCGGAGAGCCTGTAAAGCTTCGGAGAACCTCGTAAACCTTCAGGAGGATGAAAGGACTGCGAGCGCATCCTTCGTTTTGGTGCGCGGTCGGCCACTGAAACGAAATCGTTTCGCTCCTTAGAAAAAAGACAAGAATAATAGACGGCCCCTATTAAACCTCTTGTTTTGTTTCCGTGTGCTCTTTCTTTCACTTTTAAAAAGAGAGGTTCCAGGCTGCCCAATAGAATGCTCAATACCGAAAAGCAGAGCTAGGTCAAACAAGAATAAGAGAATGGAAAAGCGTTTTTTTACTCCGAGTTTCACGCACTAAGCGATCGTCAGAAAACATCTTTCACTTTATCCTATCTGTGTTTGATCTGTGTGTGATCCTTGCTTCAGAGCTCGGCGTGCCAAGAAGCGACCGCACGAGGACACCGAGGAAGCTTCAATGCACGCCGCCGAGGATGCACCGAGCGCACCACCAGTGGCGCACGAAACGACGGAGATCAAACGGGAAGAAGAGGACGAGGAGGACGCACAGAACGCCCACCTACTCATCGAGGTCAGCAACACGAAAGCCGACGCACCTCCGCCACAGCAGCAGCCTGGCAGCTCGACCAGCGACAGCTCCAGCAGCTCCGACAGCGAAGACGACGACGACGATGATGAGGAAACGATGCCTGTCGCCGCTGGCAGTGCAACGAAACCAGGCAACGTCCAGACGCTGACGATCAAAGTGGAGCAGGACTCGGACGACGACAGCAGTGCTGCGCGGCGTCACCACGCGGCTAGCCGTGGCACTCCCTCTCCCCGCCCGTATCGCTCGCCGTCACCGAAGCGTGTTCGTCACCGCGCGGATGCTGCTCGCACCAGCGTGGACACTGCAGCGCCGTCGTCATCGGCGGCACCTCACACCGACCCGGACCACACGGAGAAGATGTGCATTACGATAACGGTGGACCGCCAGGCGGAGGAGCGGGAGCGACAGAGGCAGCAGCGCGAGCAGAATCGCCTGCTGGACGAGCAGCGGGAAGCCATCCTGGAGCGGCGACGCCAGAGGGAGAAGCTCGGACACAAACCGGGTAACCTGTCATCAGTGGTGGTTCGGCCAAACAGCTCACGATCGCACGGCTCGCAGCAGCAGCAGCAGCACGCAGCATCAAACTACGAGAGTTCCGAGTACGAGCCGCACCACCGCTCTCTGCCACCCGTCAAGCACGAAGACGAGGCGGAGGAAGACGGTCGCCGTGACGACTATCGTGCCTCCGGCAGCAACGACCTTCGCCACCGTCTGCGCCGTAACCGGAAAGAGCAGGCGTCCTCTGCTGGCGTGCTGTCATCCGGCCAGGGACGCTTCAAAGCGCCTATGCCCGGCTCCTTAACGATCACGTGCGAGTTTGAAGACCGGTAAAACGGTCCGCTTGCGTCCGAGCTGTAACTACCGTGAACTACTGTTAGTTTAAAGCTGCACTTCTTTGGGCCCCGCATGATCCCCTGTGGCCATCGTTTGCGCCTGACTTTACGTCGGGATGCACCGGCCGTTTGTGTATTGCCCGACGGACAACGGTGCGACTTCCAGTGCGAATTTAGCTCGTGCCCGGGACGTCCTGTGAGTGTGAGGCTAGGGGTGGAAGCTGACACGGCACTGCTGCTGCGCTGCCACTGAAGCTGGCCACGGCCAAGAACGCTAAGCCTTTCTTCGGGCTGCGGGCGTCGTTGGCGCGTCATGTATCACACATGTGGCGCGGCGGTAAGCCAAACTTATCTGCCACAGCAACCGAGCAGTTTGCTTTACGTGCTGCCGGTACACGTTTCCAGGTTGTCTACTTTTGTGGCTGATTCTAGCCAGCGATGTTTTTCGTCCGCTTTCCTTTCCTTGCTTGTCATCTGCTTTCTGCGTCGTATCTTGTTTGATGTCGTGTCACGTAGTTGCTGCCGCAGTTTTGGTTCTAATGTATTTTCGAAGAATGCATGTATCACTCGCACTGCTTGCCTGTGTCATGACTGCAGTTGCAGTAGCGACTGCACTGGTCGGAGTCTCTCTCTCTCTCTCTCTCTCTCTCTCTCTCTCTCTCTCTCTCTCTCTCTCTCTCTCTCTCTCTCTCTCTCTCTCTCTCTCTCTCTCTCTCTCTTTCTCCCTCTCTCACTCACTCACTTATGACTGTCTTTGTTTCATGCCAACTGATGTTGCAGCGCATGCGCGTTTCGATTGGACGCCTCTAGGCGGCTGGCGCAAGCGTGCTGTTGAACGCTGCTATGTTCCATTTGCCATTTCGAATATATTCCTCACGCAGTCTGTGTCTAAACTCCATGCTCGATGATTTAATTATTTTTCTGCATTGGTGCGTTGCTTGCGCTTCTCCGTTCATGAGGTGTGTGCCTTGTGAATGGACCCAATGGAGTGACTACTGCACGACCTATTCACATGATAAAACTGGAATCTTCAGCCGATGATGGAGAACCCTGGCCATTGCCTGCAACAAGATCAAGATCGTGTCATCTAACCAGGGCCTAGGGCTTCGTGATAAAGTAATGTTTGCAAGAAATTTTTTTATGTGCGTGTACGTGTGTGTGTACGTGTGTCGACCGTCGGCAGGGGTGCACGGATCATGCCCGTGCGCACCCAATATTATGCTTTTGGGCATTCCCGCGGAAAGTCGAAAGATTCTCCAAAAACATCGAAAAATTCTCCAGAATTCCCCAAATCCATCCAACAAACCAGCACGAATCGTGCCTTGCGCATGGGCTTTAGTATGCAAAATGGACGGCCGGGCACGTGATCACTAACCGCACACATCCGTTTTTCGCAAAAAAAATATCCTGATAATCGAACACACATACTGTAAAGCGTGAAATTTTCGTGGCGTTTTTAGTTCACGTTTTCAGAATCCGGACAGGTTTGCGAGGTTTTAATTTTGCGATTGCAGAATGGCATTCTTGCTAAACCTTTCATGGATCTCCTTTTCGCGCTGTCTAAATTTCGCGATTTCCACGCGGTCGCGAATTTCGCAGAAATTAGACCATGGCAATAATTTCACGGTTTACAGTACTGTATGTATGCATGACATATGCTGTAAATCTGTAAGCAACGATGTTCTTCCGGATGGCGAGGGATCCGGATAAGCGAGGTCTGACCAAGGGTGCAACCCCCCAAGAGCGTGCAACTCTGCATGTGGGGTCCCCGAAGGCGAAAACTCACGTCACCGGTCTGAATTGCGTTTTGTCCTACGTACAACTAAGGATAGCGTGCGCGCAATCCGAAAATCTGCCATGATTATGCTGGCGAGTTGCATACCCGCAGTGAGTTTCTGCCAGGGAGTGCTGATATTATCACTCCGCTGCTCGCTAGAAACGGACTGGGGTAATCATGCAGTTTAGGGTCCCAAATTATTTCGCACTTTCCCAGTGTTCAGTGTACTGTCACACGCGTTTTCAGTGTACTTTCACATCATGAACTATATTTTCATGAAAACCGAGGACAGATCAGACTGGGTACTGCTGGTGAACACTGCGGAGCAGGGAACCGAACGTGTTGTCTTCCGCGCGAACTCTCTGTCTCCACACGAACTCGCAGAGGCACGTCGGGAACAACTCTCGCGATGTGCCGAAGTTGCGCTTCAGGGAAAAAAAGAACCACCGCGAACGCTCCGGACATACAGTCGGCATCTCCAGCGAAACCCGTCGCTGCTCTCCTGCCGTCTAGTGAGGCCACATAGCGCCCCACACTTGGCACAAGGCATTTCGTTGCTGATACAGCGCCGAGCGGCAAGGAACTCCAGTTGACCAAGTTGGGTTCTGGAAAAGATCGGCAACACTTGTAGTGTGAACACCGTCCACTTCTCCATCAAAATCGCATGATCATTTAGAATGTGTGCCTGAGGGACAATGCGTATCGGCGCTCCGGGACGCCCAGCCATTACCACAAAGTCAAAGAAAAACTTCCATAAAGGAGACAAAACTTTGACAAAGGAAACAAAACTTTGACACGAGAAAAGAAGAAGCATAGTGAAAGTACACATGTTTTCATGAAAATATAGTTCACGATGTGAAAGTACACTGAAAACGCGTGTGACAGTACACTGAACACTGGGAAAGTGCGAAATAATTTGGGACCCTAAACGTGCATGATTACCCGGACTGGAAACGTACAACTGGGACACTACACCACATGCATGATGTGAGTTTCCGCCGTCGGCGACTCGCCGAAAGGGTATCAGGAGTTGCACACTCTTGGCCTTGGGGGGTTATGATCTTGGTCTGACTGTACTGGTACATGTACTGTAAATTGAGAAACTTTCGCTAGAGATTAAATTTCGCTATTTTCGCGACCACCACACATTCGCGAATATAAATCTCCGCAAACCTCTCCGTACATTGATTGTAGACAGTACGAGATCCGACTGAAGAGATAGTGGAATCGCAAAAGTTTCTTGTCGTGAATCAGCCCAATCTATGAAAACGCTAAATTTGCGCGCCGCGAAAGTTGGTCGCTTTACAGTGTTCCGGCTCTTGTAAGGGACCATCGCAAAAGTTCGCAGAAGCCCCTGAAACGAAGAGCATACGTTTGGGGGGGAGGGAGTCGTGTCGAAAATCGCAAACCGGGCTTCAATTCAAAAAAGTATTGACGACATGTAGGAGCTGATATAGATTAGCATGCCATCACAGCTAGCCGGCGTAGATCGCTTGTCAGGACGCGTAGTCATGCGCGTGTCGCGTAGCTGGCTGCCTGTACACTGTGTGTAGTCTAGTACCAAGAGTCCATAAAACGCGTGGTTTATGGACTCTTGCTAGTACTAGTACAGTAGTAGTACTAGCACTAGTAGCAGGGGTTCATAGGCCGATGATATGATAGGGTTTATGAACCCCTGCTGTGTAGTATAATTATTATAATAATTATTATGTGTGCAGCATCCAAGTGAAATAATGAAGCCCATATTGTGAATGTCGTATCGTTTGAGGGGGGAGGGAGGGGGGTCAAGCCCGAAACTCACGGTCTTCGTTTCGGGGGCTTCTGCGAACTTTTGCGATGGTCCCTAAGTTGTACGACACTTTCACCAAGTCGAGACTGCATCGCTATCTCCATATCTGCATGTATCATGATTGTGTATGGTGCTGGTGTTTTTCCCAGATTGCCTAGAGTGCTCAACACCACAAGGATGGAGCATTGCCACAAAGGCAGAAGAGAACAGGGACAGCCGGCTAGGTGACATTGTTGTAACGGGCTATGCGCATGAAACGCAGCGTTACAACAATGACCTAGCCGGCTGTCTCTGTTCTCTTCTGCTTTTGTGGTGCTGGTGTTTTACATGGCACTACCATCTTGACAATCCCCCGGGCCCGGCCTCTAAAATATTTCTCTCCCAGATGTTTGCCCCTCGGTTACAGAGCTCTGCATTGTCCGTCTCGGACCAGACTCCACCTACCCGCCCCCTCGTAGATCTACTTCCAAGCTTGGCACCTAACTCCTAAGTAATAAAAGACCTTCAACCACTCGCTTCCTTGTATGTACATGATGTACGAGCGTACCTCTGCTCGTTTGGTATTATTATTAAAATCAAGAAGAGACAACAAACATCAATATTCTTAGTTATCACTCCCTTAGTATTGACTCACATAGATTTTTGCCATACCTAAGCAGTCAAATATTCCTGCATATTTCACGGCTATATTGACCGCTTATATTTGACTCCTTTTTAGCGGTTGAACACATGCTTTGGTTAGTCGTGATAAATCTAATATTGACTTCGTACTTGGTCAGTATAGGAAATAAAAGACCTCGTAAAAGACCTCGGCTTCGCCTCGGTCTTTTACTCGGCTTTTATTTCCTATATTGACCTCGTACTCAGTCAATATGTATAATATTACCTGAAGCCGAGTGTATATGGGCGAATATTCACTAGTATACAAACCGAGGCGAAGCCGAGGTTTGTATAACTAGTGAATATTCGCCCATATTCACGAGGCTGAAGGTAATATTAGACTTATACCTCTCCATATTCACCCTCTCGAGTCTCGTCTCTAAAACCCAACAAACGAGTCCTGTTGGTCATACATGTGCATGTACGCAGAACTAACGGAAGTCGTTGTTGCTTCACTGAGCCTTCACTTCAGACCGACTGGCGTGTTCTTGCCTGAATAGGAGGGCGGCGTGTTCAGAATCTTGTTCAATCGATCGTGTACACGTACTGGTGCATGTGGCATGGGAGGTGACGACCTTGGAGAACACGCTCGTGCCAATCACCATGGAGAACACGCTCGTGCAGCTTGGCAAAAATGCTGCGTCAGCGTCAGAATCATGAGCTTTTCCATGGCAACTGACGCAACGCGGGAAGTTTGAGCGTCAGACGCTGCTGCGTCTGACGTGGGGAAATCGGCTGCGTTGCCGCTGATGGGAGTGACGCTTGGCGGAAAAACAGTGTCTTTCAAGTAAAATTAATAATAGTTTCAAGACACTTTGCTTGAGTTGAGCAGTTATTCGACATTCGTCTCTTCAAGGTTTGTTTTGTTCCCTCTTTTTGTTCGAGATGAGCTGTTCGTTGCACTGTGAATTTTGTTGCGTTGGGGTGGCAGCATGCAGTACCTTGTGAAATGGAGAGACTTTATCCTTTACGAACTTGGGAGTATGAAGAAGATATCAGTGACGATCTATCAGGTGATTTCATTTCATTTTGGGTGAATTTATTGAATGTATTCTTGCATGAATTTGGAAATCTCCCTTTTGTTTGCTGTAGATCTTTTGTTGGTTCGGGGAATGTTGGGCCCTTTCTCAGATGACGAATGTTTGAGGCTGCTGATGGAGCTTGCACTGCTCTGCAGTGAAAAAATAGAAGTGAAATAGTCTATTTCTGACTTTCGAATCAGAAACTGGACAAAGGGGGTTGGGACCGAAGAATTTCCCTGTGAAGTTCTTTCCTCCAGGTTGGGATGCTTGCATGAACGTACATGGACAAGGCCCACGAGCTCACTACCTGGTTACCACCAAGCCTATGATTCGCCGTAGTCCATGTACGTTCCTGCAAGACTCCTTTGGATCTATGACAGGAGGGGATCGTGCTGCCCGGCAGTTTGTCTCTTCCACAGAAAAGGGCATTGATTAATCATGAGCTTACCGCAGAGCACAACGAAAGCATTGTAGCATGAAACTAATTTGTCTGAATACAAATCTGCATAATGGCACAGGCGGCTAATGGAGGTAAAGCATAGCATCACCAGCATTGTATTCCTGGAAGCAGTGCAAGTTATAGATTTAGGTATCAATATTTATCTAAGCTTTAGCGAAGTCCGGACGCAGTACATTTCTAGTGTGAAAGATAGAAGAAAAAGCAATGATATCCGTATATACCCGGAAAGAGGGGTTAGAGTGGGTGGGAGTAAGTGAAAGCACTTGTACAAGCTAAACATCCGTGCAACCGGAAAGAGCAGAGAAAAGGCTAAAGCAATTACACAGGCCATGTGTACGAGGTAATTTAGCAGTGAGACCCAAAC